AAAAAAAAAAAAAAAAAAAAGAAGAAGAAAAGAAAATAAAGAAGATTAAAAAATGGGAAGACAGCTCATATTCACAGATTTGAAGACTTAATGTTCTTATGATAGCAGTGTTCCCCATACAGATATGCAGATTTAATGCTATCCTGGCTTTTTGTTGTTGCTGTTGCTTTGCAGAGACCAGTGTACGGCTCCCTGGATCCACATGGAAATGCAAGGGAGCTGAGCGGCCAAAACAACCTGGAAGAGGAAGAGCAAAGTTGGAGGCCTCACACTTCCCATTTCCAAAATATATGGCAAAGCTACAGTAATTAGGACTCTGGAGCACTGGCAGAAAGGTAGCCAGAAAGACAGTGGAATTGGATTGTGAATTCATCTCCAAGTCCTTACATTTAAGCAGAATAATACCTGCTCCCCTCCAAAAAAGTTTACTCTAAACTCTGTAATTTAGGATATGTTATGCTACAGGGGAAGAAGAAAGTAGGGTTGCTAATGAGCTGACTTTCAAATAGATCTTCCAGGATTATCTGGCCAGACCCAATGTGCTTACCAGACTCCTTAAAAGCTCAACAGTGAGGCAGAAATGCCGGGAGTCAGAGGGCAATGTGACCACGGAGGACGGACATGCAGAGGGGATGGCGCTGGCTGTGTCCACATAGGAGGAGAGGACAAACTAAGGAAAGTGTCAGTCCTAGTCCACTTTCTGTTGCAGTAACCAAAATATTGTTCCTCTGTCTGGGTACTTCATTTTTTTAAAAAAAGAGATTTATTTAGCTCACAGTTTTGGAGGTTGAAAGTCCAAGACTGGGTCTTCAGCCCCTGGTGACGGCCTCCTGAGAGACATCATAGCAGCAAAAATACATGCGGAAGGGACACCTCCACGACACAGGAAGCCAGAGACAGGTGGGGCCAAGCTTACTGGCTTCTAGCCACCCATTCCCAGGAGACAAAATCGGTACTAATCTCTTCCCAGAGAGATACCCCATGACCTTTGCACTGAGCTATATCCCCAGACCTTTTAAAAATCTTGAGTCTCACTACATCAGTGGGCCTGAACCTGTCATCCTCCTGCCTCGGCCTCCCAGAGTACTGGGATCACAGGTGTATGCCACCACACCTAGCAATGGTACAACCAGTCTTAGAGAGTTTGGGAGTTCTGCAACATGTTAAATACAGATTCATCATCTGACTGAACAGTTTTACTCCCCGGTATCTACTCAAGATAAATGAAAACACATGTCTACACAAAACATGCACAAGAATGTTCACAGCAGCATTATTCGTAATTGCCAAAAAAGAAAAACAGCCAAAATGTCTATCAAATAAAGAAAGGAATGGCCCAGTCACACAAAGGAACATTATTTGGCAATAAAAAAGGAACAAAGTTAAGATACGTAGTACTAATGAATGAACCTTTCACACACAAGAGGCCACTTACACGAACCATCCGCATTATGCAAATCCTTAAAAAGTAGATTTATGGTTTCCAGAGGCAGAGGGGAAGCGGAGAATGGTGAGAGACTGCTAATGGATACAAAATTGGGGAGATGGGGGAGGGGCAGAGAAAACACACTGAATTGGGGTGTATTAAATAGGTGAATTGTATGGCATGCAAATTATATCTCAGTGAAGGTGTTAGGAAAATGGTTATAAATTGCATCATAAGCCGTCTCGGTGATGAAGGTGAAACTGAGGCATTCGACAGTTCTGCCTGCTTCACAGTTTTGTCACAGACCAGCCCTGCAGAAGGCCCGAGTGAGGTTCTATGACATCAGCATCTGGCCTCTGTGACCCAGGCACCCACGCCCCCCGAAATGGGGCCTTCAGCTCCCACTGGGGGCCGCAAGACCGCCCCTTAGACTTGTCTCCGTCTCTCAGAGGCTTTTACCTGCTGGCCTTGCTGCTGCTGTGGCTGCTGGGTGTGGCACACCATCTGGGCCAGGGCCCGGGCGATCCAGACAACACCAACATTAGGGGGGACAGGTGGTCAGGGGACCAATGACTGGAGTCCAGGATGCTTGAAGAATCTCACAGTCCAGATTAGGAGGCCGAACACGGTCGCACACAGGACCTCTGGCTGGCTGCTGGAGGCACACGGCAACAGACAGAATCTGGGCTCAGGGTGAGTTCCGGGATAGACACCGGGGCGGAGGGAGCTGCAGTCACTGCTTGATGGCTCTGCTCGCCTCTCTGACAGGTCCCTTCTTCCCTCAGTGCTGTGAAACACGGCCCAGAGGAACCCTCACTGGTCAGAACCCACAAAGCCGGAACCCTCCCCTCTCTCCTCTAACTCCCTCCTCCCCTCTGTCCCCACTTTCACCTTCCCCGGAACATTTTGCCAGCTTTTCTGAGCCCCAAGGTGAAAAGCTTTTGGGGTTTAGAGCGTTGTCTTGAAACTGGGCACCCAATGCAGAGCTGTGGCCCTGTCTGTCTCTGCAGGTCCTGGGGCTGTGTGTTCTTCTCAGTCCCATCCAGACGATCACTGCTGCTCCCAGCTCCCAAGAGGCAGCGTTCGCGTTCTCCGGTGAGGGCTGACACAAAGATGTGAGAAGCCAGGCTTGGGCCAAGGCTTCCGCCTGAGCACTCTGAGGGCCGAGCAGAGCCACATACGAAGCCGGTGCCTCCTTGGCCTATGCCATCTGCGGCCACCCCGGTCTGGAGCCCCACAGCCCCCAGAAGACAGCATTGATGCCCGGACTCTGCTAGGATTCTAATCCCTGTCTGGTCGCCCAGTCCCTTCTGGGGTCAAGGCAATGTTGCCTCAAAACCAGGACCAGGTGCTGCTGCAGAACACATTCACTCCCGGGGGTCCCCCCTGGGGCCTCTCACAGCTAACCCCAACCTCCAGCCTTGTTCTCTGCATCATCCTCCCCCTTCCTCCCACCCACTGCTCTCCTCTTCCCCAAAGTCCCAACCCCCCTTCTCCTTTCCCCCACAGCCCCAATCTTCCGGCCCCCACTTCTCTGCTGATGCTAATTCCGACTTCACGCCACACCCCTGTTCTCCTCTCCCAAGTCCCCCCACTTTTTTTCACCAGAGCTACCCCTACATCTCCCTTCCACATTCCTCTTGTCCCCCAAACTACTACTGGCTCTACCCCTCTCCTCCTCTTACCCACTCTTCCTCTCCTCCCCAGCCCCAGCCTCGCCTCTCCTGGGGTCCGCTCTAACAGGCAGGCTTGGCACTGGTACAGGGGCCCTGGGTCCCCTGGGTGGTAGCAAGATGCATAGCGGGGGAGAGGAAGCCTGCAGAGTTCAGGGACCCAGGGGCCCTGGCTCAGGCCCTGGTGGCCCACCTGGGGTTGCGTCGCATCGCGCACGGCCTGCGGCTACTGCTTTTACAGCAGCTGTGGCTCGGCAGAACCATCCAGGCCCCAGCAGCTGTGGCTCGGCAGAACCATCCAGGCCCCAGTTGTAGAGTACCCCATATGCCTGTTGTGCCTCCAGCCCAGAAGTCCTTCTTGTCCTATCCCCAGGTACAGTACTGGACCCCGGCTGCTTGTCTTCCCGCAACTATTGCCTTGTGTGCCAGGCCAGGAATCTGGGCCACTCCGAATGGGCATCGGCTTTGGCCTCCGCCTGCCCATGGGCGAGGCCAGGGCCTTGAATCTATTACCAAAAAGAAGCGGGGGAGGAAGTAGGGCCTCAGGGCAAGGCCACTCAGTCCCCTTGGTGTCAAACACCAGCAGCCCAGGTCCCAGGGGCTCAGGCCCAGGCAGATCCAGCGCCCAGCATACCCTCCCAGGTCAGGAGCCTCAGGTCTGCAGGTCTTCAAACACCAGACTCCACCCTCCGAAGATCAGGACCTCTACCTCAGGCTGCAAAACAGGCCTCCCCAAAGCCCAGGCCATCTCCATCCCCAAAGTGGCCTACCTGTCCAGAGCCTTTTCTCGAAAAATTCCCATCCTAGTTCCAGAGCTACGGAGGGTCCCTGGAACTTCCCCTCCAAACCCTAGACCCTCCACCAGGCCCCAGGTCTCAGGGAGCCCCCGAGATACTCTGAAGGGCTGGCTGGCCGGAGGTCAGGTATGTTCTCCTGTCCTGAATCCTGGAAACCCCCTATGGAGTCTTCTCTCCCCCGGCTAAAGAGGACGAAGGGCACTGGAGGCCTCATTCAGCCTTCAGTGTGTCCAATAAAACCTGACCCTGCAAACCTTGTGTCTGTCCTGCTGAGCCCACAGAATTCATGGCTATAGCTACAAGGGTGCTAATCTCCAACAAGGCCCTGGGGTGGGGTATCAAAGGAAACAGAAGGGCTTAGGACAGCAGGTGCCTTTTCCAGAGGGAAAGGAACCCACAAGGCCCTAGGAACTGAGGTTCACAAGGGGCTCAGCCAGGCCCTTTATGGCTTAATTCAGTTCTGTGGGATAGACACTGGTGTCCCCAAAGATGAAGCCACAGGGCTTTGGGGTACTGAAGATGCTGCAGTCCTTGTGTCCTCACAGGGATTTCTAGTGCTTATCTGTAGGGAATCAAGGGACTCGTGCACAGATCAGAAACCCCAAGGTCCCCACAGGGTGTGGGTGTCAGGCAGAGAAAGTACCTGTCAGGGAACCCAAAATACATCATAGGCTATCAGAGGCTGCCACCCCTAAAGTTGCATGAGTGGAAATGTGAAAGGGACTAGAAGGAAATGGCAGGCTCTGCCAACATAAAGGATAGGTGTTGTTTGTTTTTTGGTACCAGGGATTGAACTCGGGTCCTTGAGCTTGTGAGGCAGGAGGAGGAACCACTGAGCTAAATCCCTGGATAGGTGTTGTATTAAGGTGTAGTGTGGTTTCTTTATACTGTAAAAAAAAAATTATTTAGTTAGCTTATGAGTCAGGCAGCTAGATAGTGGAAGGGCCTGAGTTAGAGTTGGGTGACAAGTCATACTGATAAAAAAGTCAGAACAGATAGTGAGCTAGGACTTTGGACAAAGAATGAACTCCCTCAGGCAATATGGGATGCAGCCCACTTCCTCCTAAAGCCATTCCTCATTAAATTCCTGAATTTTGAGGAGATTACAATGCAAGTTAACCAGTTTTCCCGAGATCCAGGTACTGGCAAACCCTAAAATTGAAGAACCAGGTTAAAACACTGAGTTCCAATTGGTCATTTTTAAATCCCCAGAGTCACCTGGGATAGGTGGCCACCAAAGGAATGAGCAATTCCTGTGCTGTTACCTATAATTAAGCTCTGACTGGGGCGAGATATTCTCAGTATTTCCAATAAAAACTCTCCTAACTTCCTCCTTTTGTTGGAGACTTCATTCCTCATTGTTGGCAGAACCAGAAGCCTGGTACTCACGGTATCAAAATAGTATTAGGAAACTGGGCCTGGGATTTGACACCAGGTTCATTCTGAATCCATGCTGCCTTTTTTCAGGAGCTGCAGGTTGTTTCAGGTACTCTCTGTGACCTTGGACTTCCTCTCAGGTGTAAAGGTTGCCCTTTTATCAGTTGGCTCATCGCTCCTGAGTGGGGACTGTTCTAAATGCAGGACTTATTACATTTATGTAAGTCTGACTGGGTTGCAGGTTGAGGCAGGAAGATCACAAGTTTAAATCCAGCACGGACAATTTAGCGAGACCCTGTCTCAAAATAAGGGGCGGGACGGGGCTGTGTTACTGGGAACGTAGCTCAGTGCGATCTCCACTACGGAAAAATAAAACAAAAAGTTAAAAGGGGCTGGGGATGCAGCCCAGCGTGAAGGCCCTGGGTTCAATTACCAAGGAACCAACACACACACCTTCAACAATCTTCACTAACTAGCTCCACCCCCACCCTACCCGACCCCACCCCCGAACAAAGAGGGCGGGTCTGACGTCACAAAGGGCGGAGAAGAAGATTCGGTGCCAGGGCTCTGTGACCCGCTAGTGCTGACGCGTATCGGCGTCCTGCGCCTGCGCGGAGAGCCGCGAGGGGAGACGCGTGCGCTCTACGCACCCTGGAAACCAAGTCAGACAGTTTGGGGCTGAGACGCGGGCTTCTGCGGGTGGCTGGAGTTGTTGCAACCCAGCAGGAGTGAAAGGGGTCCCGGCGGCGGGAACGGGAACGGGACAAGTTCAGCAGCTGCTGGGGCAGTGAACGCGCGGCGGGCGGGATGGGCCGGCGTCAGGCTACGGAGCTATACCGGGCCCCGTTCCCCTTGTACGCGCTTCGGGTGGACCCCAGCGCGGGGCTGCTCATCGTAGCGGGCGGAGGAGGCGCCGCCAAGACCGGCATAAAAAATGGAGTGGTGAGAGCGCGGGGCCACCGGGGCCAGGGCACGGCGCGGGCTGAGGGCGATTCCGGGTTGACGGGTGGCTGGGTGAGCCGCACCCCAGCTTCGGGTCCGGGCGCCCGGGCGCGGAGAGTGGCTGAGGGACTCCGGAGTTAGAGCTGCACACCGGCCGCGCAGGTCGGACGTCTGAGCTCGACCTGGAGAGCAGCTCTAGGCGCTTGTCCGGCTCTCTTCAGGAAGCACATATATTCTGTCTGCGCTCCAGCTGCGGCGAGTGGTGCATCTGGCCCTTAGGCTAGGTTCTTTAAAAGTGTTCTGAGCTTCATCCTGCCGATCTATAAACCGGAGGATAATGATCCCTGCTTCCTGTACAGATTGGGGACCAAATAAAAGATAGGAGGCTCAGGACAGCCCTGCGAACTAGAAATGTGCAGTAAGCCAAGGGATAAAGCATCAGACTAGGAGGTGAGTTTGCCTTGATCTGCTCTCTCTGCACCCCTGAACTTTGCTTGCCTCTCTCACAGCATTTTCTGCGGCTAGAACAGATTGATGGGCACCTGAGCGCCTCCTTGCTGCACTCTCATGACACAGAGACACGGGCCACCATGAACCTGGCACTGGCTGGTGACATCCTTGCTGCAGGGCAGGATGCTCACTGTCAGCTCCTGCGCTTCCGGGCCCATCAGCAGAAGGGAAGCAAGGCAGAGAAGGCAGGTGAGAAGCTTGTGGGGGGGGGGTTAGATGAGTAAGAGCGTGAAAGAGCAGGACAGGAAGTGGGGTCGTGGTGGCAGCTACGCGCTGGAAATACACCTGCCCTGTACAAAGGGACCAGTGCCCCTTAATGTAGAAGACTGGATCCTGGCAAGCTGTTTGTTTTGCAGGTTCCAGAGAGCAGGGGCCTCGACCAAGAAAGGGGGCAGCCCCGGAAGAGAAGAAATGGGGAGCTGAAACCCATCGTGACGGGGCAGAGCTCAAAGTAGAGAACCTGAAGGCGGTGCAGACAGACTTTGGCCTGCAGAAAGATATACTGCAGAAAGTTGTGTGCTTCAACCATGATAATACCCTGATTGCCACTGGAGGGACAGATGGCCACATTCGTGTCTGGAAGGTACGGTTTTAGGGGTCAGGAGAGATGCATGTCAGTACAAAAAGTCAGGAAGTGGGAGAATCTGAACTTTAGTTCTGGGAAACTTGTGAGTGGCCGTTAGATGAGAAGATGATAAAAGAGGTGTAGGAAGCATAGTGCTCTTGCTGCCGTCCTGGTCTAACCATGGTGCATGCTGGTGGCTTGGCTGTAGGTACCCAGCCTGGAGAAGGTTCTGGAGTTCAAAGCCCATGAAGATGAGATTGAAGACCTGACTTTGGGGCCTGATGGCAAGGTGAGGTGGTGGGTTCTGAGAGGGGGGTGCAGAAAAGAAAAAGGAGGTGCTAATGCTGTCTGTGTAGCAAATAGATCCTCTAACCTTCCATCTTTGGAATCTTTATTCCTGGCTACTAGTTGGTAACTGTAGGCCGGGACCGTAAGGCCTTCGTGTGGCAGAAAGATCAGCTAGTAACACAGTTGCACTGGCAAGAGAACGGACCCAGCTTTTCTAACACACCTTACCGCTACCGGGCTTGCAGGTATGGAGACCTATGGGCTGGTTGAAAGAGGCACAGCGCAGCTGTGATGGAGGAGTGGGAACAAGTGGGGGGAGGGGGGACTGGGGAGGACTGTGGTCTCGTTGGTGTCACCCCAGGCCTAACCAGGGTGCAGCAGGGCAGCAACCTCTGAGGAAGGCTGGGCAGGACCCTGGAGCTGAACAGCCCTTCACCCGGCCCCCAGGTTTGGGCAGGTTCCAGACCAGCCCTGTGGGCTGCGACTCTTCACAGTGCAGATCCCCCAGAAGCACCTGCAGCAGCACCCGCCCTGCTACCTCACAGCCTGGGACACTTCCACCTTCTTGCCCCTTCGGACTAAGTCCTGTGGCCATGAAGTAATCTCCTGCCTCAGTGTCAGGTGTGAGACAATGTGGGCCTGGCTGGGTAGAGGGTACCTGGGGGAGCTTGGAAAGGAGTCCTGCCCGGGTGCCCAGGGACAACTGTTGGTAAGTGAAGGTGGCTGCCCGGGCTTCTAGGACAGTGAGCACTTTGTTGTTTGTTACAGTGAATCGGGCACCTTCCTAGGCCTGGGCACGGTCACTGGCTCTGTTGCCATCTACATAGCTTTCTCTCTCCAGGTAATGGGTGGAGGTGGGCACAGCCCCGTGGGAGGCCTGCAGGCCTGCCCTGCCCTGTGTGTACAGGAAGGGAAGACTGCTGGGGTGCAGAGCATGTTTCCAAAAAGTGTCCAGTTGTGCCTTCCCTTACTACTTTCCTTCCTGCCCTCAGCGCCTCTATTACGTGAGGGAGTCTCATAGCTTTGTGGTGACGGATGTGGTCTTTCTACCTGAGAAAGGTCGTGGACCAGAGCTTCTCGGGTCCCATGAAACTGCCTTGTTCTCTGTGGCTGCGGACAGTCGCTGCCAGCTGCACCTGCTGCCCTCACGGCGTGAGTAGTTGGGGTGGGAGCTACCACCCCACCTTTGGCTGTAGCAGACACATCCCTGGAGAAGAGCTTGCCAGTTCCCAGCCATCCCTCTGCCCTTCCTTAAATCCAGTGGGTCCAGGGCTCTGGTCTTCAGTGACGCCCCTCTGTGGCTCACTTCTTTTTCCGCACCTGCAGGGAGTGTTCCTGTGTGGCTGCTGCTCCTGCTATGTGTCGGGCTCATCGTCATGACCATCCTGCTACTGCAGAGTGCCTTTCCAGGTTTTCTTTAGCCTTCCTGCTCTCTGGGAATCAGGCATGGACACTGCCACCGTCCAGAGGAGAGTGGAGACCTGGACTCCTACTGCTCACCTCACTTGGGCCTACAACTGAGACTGCCTGTGATGAGGGGCAGGGCCTGCCCTTCTCAGTTAATGCTTGGCTGTGGCCCTCCCTGAGTCTGGTCCTGAGGGCCCTACATTCGTCACCTGTGGATCCACCCAGGATAGTGGTGTTTGAAGCCAGACCGCACTACCTGCCTCCTTCCTTTTGTCCACCAGAGGCTCCAAAGCTGAACGTGCCCTTCTCCAGAAACATGAAGATGTCCAAGAGCCTGGAGGCACTGCTATCCTTCCTGCAGACACAATCAGTTACTCCTCCTCCCCTTACAGTCTTCACATGAAGCTCCTGGCTTTTGCTGGGAAGAGGACTGGCCTGGCCCTTGCTGTTAGGGCGTAGAAGGGCAAGAAAGGTGACTCAGGTAGTAATCTGTGGGTTCAGATGGGCCGCACCGAGCCAGCCCGGCTAAATACACAGTAAGCCCCTGGATCATCTATCCCAGACTTAAGGAAAGGGAAAATGAACCTCAGCCCAATAGGCAGGAAGGGTTGATTATTTAATAAACAAGGGAAAACTGAGCTGAGACCCCAAATGGTACACTTGTCAGCTCTTTCTGTCCCCAGAGGCGAGCAGCTCCTCTGGGTGCTGGAAGATGGCTCTGGCATACTGGTGCAAGAGGCGGCTCATGTAACAGTGCTGCCAGGGCAGCAGCCCTTCCAGGAAGCCGATGTGACCACCACGAGCTGTGATGAGCAGAGCAACATGGGCAGAGTGTTGGGCAGCCTGTAGGGGAAAGGCTGGGAGGCGGTCAGAGAGGAGGTCAGGAACCTGGCCCCTGGTAAGGACCCAGGCTCTCTCCACTTGTACCTCACTGTCCACTTTCCAGGGCCCCAGGCCTTCTGACTCCGGGTGCTCACCATGGACTGGGGAGAAGGGGTCATCTGCTGCATTGAGGCAGAGCACAGGGAGCTGGATGGCATCTACCTTGTGTTTGGGGCTTGATGCTTGGTAGTAGGCAACCCAATCTTGATACCCAAAGGCTACAGATGTGTAGCGCGCATCAAGCTGGCGGATTGTGCGGGCCTGTGTGGCAGAGGTAGTAGAGTCTGAGATAAAGAACAGGAAGAAGGTGGGAGACCTTCTGGAGCAGGGAGATGGTGAAAGATGATACCTGCAGGACAAAGTCTACATCCACCAACTTCCCAATCGTCTTTCTGTTTCTGGAAGAAAGTACATCCCGGTTTGTCTTGACTCCTGCATCTGACCCAAAGCCGTGGCCTCTCGTACTGAGGAGGCCCAGGTGACAACATACCTGGTCACTGGGCAAGCCTACCTGTCCACAAACCGGCAGAGCGCAGCAGTGATGCGCTTGTTGAAGAGCAGCGAGTTCAAGGGGGTCTCCAGGGAGCGGGCCGTCTCGAAGGAATCCCAGCACACAGACAGAGTCAGTCCTGCCACCAGCCCTGCAGCCTTCCCGCTCTGTGCCAGGTAGTTCAGCAACAGTATCCTGCAAGATTGGTGAAGAGCCACGAGAGAAGCATTGGTATGAGTGAGTCAGGAGGAGAACAGGACACAGGGAAACAGGAGGAAGGCTGGGCTCTGGGTTAAGCCCGGGCCACCATTACCCTCCGAAAGAGATGCCCACGGCCAGCAGTGGAGCTTGAGGGTAGCGGTGCTTTATGTGGTTCACGGCCATCTCTAGATCTTCAGTATAGGTGGCACAATAAGCCCTGTGGGTCTGAGGGCAAACGGGATTGGAGAGGCGGGGAAGGGAGGGAGGGAAAGTAGGCAGGTAAAGCCCCAGGGCCAAGATCTACGGGGAGTGCGTACAGAGCCACGTGAACAAGGAGGTCACTCACCAGCAGCTCTTCCCCACGGCAGCCTCGGTTATTAAATACAGCAGCCCTGGGGTACACACAGGTATGTCAGCCAGGCCCTCCCCACAAGCCCCCGCTAGAGTACCACATCGGGGTCAAATGGACTTCTCCCCCTAACACGTCTTCAGGCACCCCTACTCCTGGGCTGTGTCCACCCTCACCTGTAGCCATCCCTCAAGGCTTGGTCAACCAGGTGCAAGATGTAAGTCTCCTGGCTGTTGCCACTAATGCCAGGAAGCAGCAGCACAATGGGCTGAGTGGTGGGGTCAGAGTAGTGACTGTTGTTGGGCTGCTCGGCCCAGTCTAGCAGGAACTGGCCCCCATCTGGGGTTTGGAGGACTTCACTGGGGTTTGGGAGAGGAGAGCACACATGATCCTATTAGGAATTTGATACACTTCAAGGGTTCACCTCCTGCCTCCCCCACACGGAAGTCCTGCAGCTTACCTCAGCAACACCTGAAGACACGCTTTCTGTGCTACATACTGGAGTTTCACATTTACCTGCCTGTCCCCTTCTTACCTCCAGTAAGAGACTAGTGGCTGGGACTGCACAAAGACACGAAAGATGGTTTGCAGCCGTCCCTCAAAACACCATAATGTGGGGTAGAAAGTCTCCACAGTGATGGGACAGTGTTGCTTCAGGAAGCTCAGAAACTGGGGCCCAGCCACCAGGTGAGGCCTCTGTAATCACACAGCAGAATCTGCCTCACTCCCCTGATTTTTGCCCCAAGACAGTGAGCCACCCAATGCCAAAGGGTAAGTGACTTCCCTTCCCAGACAGATGCTGCACTGTCAGAAGAGTGAGATCCTGGGCACAGCTCAGCCTGGATGGCCAGGTCACCGCTACTAACAGAGCCACAAAAACGCCAGCTCTGGAGTGTCACCTTTCTAGAAGTGACTGGGCACTGCTTCCCCTGCTCTGCCTGTCCCTGCCTCAGACCCAGCTGGGAGGGGACAGGTCATAGAAACAGTGCCTGGTGGAGGAGCTGAGTTCTGGACAAGAAATGCAGCACCATCCAATCCAGGAGCTCTGCCTTGCAGGCGAGTCATCTGCAAGGTCACCTTCCTGTGACACTGGCTTCTCCTGATGTGAGTACCCCACTCTCCACAAATTCCCACAAGGGCTTTCTACCAGGGTTCTCGTTTTTTTCCTACATGTGGGGCCTGCTGTTAGATCATGCTCTACAGGAGCACTATCCCTGATGTGAACACACTGCTTCGTGCCAACTCGGGGAAAGGTAATGGCGATGGGGTAACACGAACAGATGAGGTCAGTGGGCGCAAAGCCCAGACTTTGAACTTCTCTGCTTTCTGAAAGAGGGCCTAGGTGAGAAGCCTGCAAGTCAGAGGGCCACAGTCTCAAGAACAGAAATTACATTTCCAAGGAACTTGGGCACCAGATTCTTATCTTTTCTTCCTGAAACCTTAAAGGAGCCAGGCAAATAACAGAGGCCAAGTTAATACTGTGGCTGTTGGGCGATGTGCCCTGGACCCTGATCCTTACTCCCTGGGATATCAGCATGTGTGCTACATGCAGTCACTGTGCTAAGCCCAACCTTAGGTAAGATACAAGTGACAAAATTGTGACTATTACAGGTCAACTAGTTTGTCCAGAATCACCCAAAAAGGCAAGCAAAAGGCAAGGCAGAATCAATAATTATATCACCACTAATCCTTGTAGAAAAATGTCCTGTGTGCTCATTGTGTTGTAGGCTTTGTGCTTAGCACATACTCATCTGTGAGGCAGGTCCTATGGTCCCTCAGTACGAAGAGGTTTGAATGTTGAATAACTTGTTGAAGGGCAGGAAATGTCCCACAGCTTGTGTGTGGCAGCTGAAGATTCACACCCAGGCCTGTGTCTCTAGCACTGTGCCACTTCATCACCTGCACTCTGCTGCCTCCTAACTGCCAAGAGGTCAAGCTCCTCTCAGTTTATTAAACTGTGGGTCAAATCGCTCAGCAGTGTATAACAAGGGTAATGCATTAGTGCCTAGGTTCGACTTGCGTAAGTTACCTTCATGTACCTCTAGCACAGTGTTTCCTGGCTCACTCCTGAGAATTATTAGTGAGACACTATCGGTGTCTGGATAAATGTGTATTAATCCATGGCCATGTCGGACGGCCCAGGTTCCATGTCCTCCAGGATAGTACCTTTCCTGCATTTTAGGCAGTGTATAGAAGTCAAGAAAATGTTTGGTGAATAAAGTGGCAGCAGATCTGGCTTCCGTTTGGCTCTTGCAAGTAAAGGACAATGTGAGTTCAGGACAGGTCTGGTCTAAAGTGACTAACTTCAAATTTGATGCATAAGGCGAGGCTTACAAAGTATTGTTAGATTTGGACTTTTAAACTTTATTAAGGGAGAATATTTAGGTGGTGGAGATTGAATGCAAAATAAACACATACTGTACCACTGTGCCATATCCCAAACCCTGACTTAATTTATAAGCCATACCAATGTAGAAAGCTTTGAAAATATAGAAAAGTCTAGGCAACACTAAAATCTCCCATAGGTCTTATAAAAATCTTTCGGTACTAGGGATTGAATCCAGGGCCTCCTACATGCTAAGCTTGTGTTCTACCACTGAACTACACTCTCCCCTACCCAAACTATTTGGGTTTTTTTGGAGACAGGTCTTGCTGTGTTGATCAAGATAGTCCAAACTTGGACTCCAGCGATCCACCCTCCTCAGTCTCCCCGGGAGCTGGGACTCCAGACTTGTGCCCAGTTTCTGCACCAGGGGTGGAACTCGGCCCTTGCACTCGTGAGGCAGGCGACCGCACCACTGAGCCAAACCCCCCGGCCCTCCGGCAAGTCTTTTTAAAGAATTAAGTCAGTAGTTTTCTTGTTGGATTCAGCTGCCTAAAACCAATTTTAATTAAAAGCTTTAGCTTTTCCTAGATATGTAATTATATATTTATGTAAATGTCAAACATTTCCAAATTGATCAAAACCAGCCTCTTCAGAATTTCTCAACACTCCAGAGTCTAGACCTTAAAACAGGGCTGAATGCACAAGCCCAGTTACAGTTATTCATCAGTCCCAAGTGAGACACAACATTCAGTCAGCGCTCAAGAGAGCAAGGTCCTACTAAGTTGAGGGAGGTTGGTGTTGAGTTGGCCACCACCACAGAGGCCCCAGGTTCTATCATTAGGTGCAGCCAATGAGAAATTCAGCTAGATCACCTAAAAAGAAGGAAAGCAGAGGGTTCACATCTGGCACCTCAGGATGCCTTCCACATTACATGGGGCAGCACCCTTCTGGTGCCCCAATGGTCCAGCTGGCATAGGGAGATGCAGAGGGGAAGCAAAGAAGCGACTCTCCAATAGGTGATAATAGCAACTTTCACTGGGGAGGGAGACCCAATCATCCAAGCTTTCACAAAGCGTTCGAGCCCAGGCTAAGTCTGTCCCATACCCCAGAGTACCCCAAACCCACCGGTCACAACACTAGGTCCGCACCCACCTGGGGCACACATGCCCAGTAGTAGCCCAAGTAGAGGGCGACGCCAAGAGCCAAGAGCAGAGAGAAGGTCTCTGTCCAGGTGCTGTTCTGGGGGCTCAGGGAAGAACTCAGCATCTTCTGTACAGGGGAGAACCCCAATCCCAGGCTCACGGCGGTCTCCAGCCGGCGAACTTCGACTCTTCCGCCCGCAGGTTGCCGCCGGCCCGCCCCCTTCACGCCATTGGTCTGCCTGTGCGGGTTCCGCCCCCGATGCCGCCCCGCCCACCAGTTCCGCGATGGGAGTGGCCGGAGGCGGGGCTAGGAGGCGGAGGAGCTGAGCCGGCTTCCAGCGTGGTGTTCACCCGGGAGGCTACCATTTGCCATTTCCTGACTCCCGCCCTCCCCAGTCTCCCGCTTTCCCTGCACAGGTACGAGGGTGCAGCCCAAGGACGAACAGCCTCGCCCACAGCTGCCATCTTGGTGCAGGCCGCCTCCCCTTCTGCAAACTTCCTCTGCGATGGATGAATCAGATAGATGGCTTCCTCAAGAATTCCCAGACTACGAGTTGGACAAGCATAGGGCTCAGTCCTCCTGTGGGGATATGCCGCTCTGTTACGCAGAGTACAGCCGTTCACAGTGACCGTTACACTGAACACAGCCACTATCCAATTGTTACACAGTCCGAATTTACATTCTCAGTTTTCAGCTGCTCCGTGGGGACACTGCACCCAGGCAGGCTCCCACAGGGTCTCGCACAATCCCTTCCCTGCCAGCGGTGGTCATGAACTAACTCCATTTTGTCCCTCTCTGATTCCATTCCCCACTTCCCCTTTCTGAGCCACTCTCTTGCAGTCACCTGGGATTCCAAGAGCTACACCTCTGGCTGCTGAACATCCCCCAAGCAACAGCAAGCCTCCTCGCAGAACAGATCGGCCCATGATCATATTATAGACAGCTAAGTCAGATAGAAGCTAATAGGCAGTCAGAAAGGGATAGGGCCCTGGAAGGGGTCAGTGGAAAAGATGAGACGCACATCAAAATTGTGGCTGAAGACAGACCTGAAGAGAGCCAGGACTGTGCACCCTTTCTAGAGATAAACTGCAGCTGGAGATTACAATGTAATTAGCACCACCTGGTCCAGTGGGCTCAGACATGGAGGTGGGTGACAGAACACCCTGACCTCCCATCCCTTTCCGAGAAGGCCCTTGTTCTTTGTACAGCAGAAGTTACAGATGAGCTAAAGTCATTGATGCCCACCTTATTGCTTCCCTACTGATCAATCAATATTAGCCAAGTAACTATACTCAGAATCCCATAGGGTGATTATAGCTTAGTTATCCAAGTCGTGATTTTGTGTATAAATTAACCCTGGATGAAGAGGCTTGGTTGTAATCCACTTTCAGGACCCCTCCTGTCTCTCAGTAGCTTTCTGTCAATAAACTTTTTCCACTTATAACTCCTCTGTCCTCAGATCCATTCTTCAGTTTTGAGAGACACACACTCTTGGCACCATCCGGCATCTAACAGGTTGGGAGTTATTTCCCCATGATAAGACTGCCTCTCCGATCAGGAGCGGTGACTTCATGACTGGAGCCAAGGATGCACCGTCCTCAGCAGGACAGGTGAACCCACCTGGGAATCAAACTGCCCCTCAAGGGGCGAGGGCTTTCCTGGAGATTCTCAGAGCCAGGCCTGAGATAACCCAGAGTTACCTACTTTGTCAACTGCAAAATCCATAGCTATGCTAACCCCAACCCTTGCCCTTATTCCCTTTTTCTGTAAAACTTCCACATTCCGGTCATGCCCTTGAAAACAGAACTTGAACACGCTACCTGTTTTTCACGTTGCCATGATGATCGAGGCTCCTTCCTGTCTCTTTGATCGGCATGTTGGGACAGGCAGCCTGGTACATGGGGATCTTTAGAGTCCATCAAGGCTTTCACCCTGAACCTCCTGTAACAGTCGCACAACAGAGACTTTTCTCACCTGTGTGGCACTGTCTCCATTGGGATCTAGGAATAAGGAACGTAGGAGAGCAACGGCTTTTGCCTGACTGCAGATTATCATCTGGGAGGTATGCCCAGGTGCTGCCCCTGACACAGCTGATCTGGAGAAGAGCTGGGTGTTGATGTGTGTGTACCACGATGCATGATGTAAGAGCTTTCTAGGAAATTCAGCTGTGTACTCAAGGTTGAACCCCTGCAATGGGAGTGATGCTAGAAGGGAAGTACTAGCTGCCATGGAGCACTAACGATGATGACGCCCAAACTTCATGAGGGAGGAGATAAAAAAAAAAAAAAAAAGAGTAGGAGTTTCCTGGGCAAGTGAGAGGCAGGAGCACTACTCTGGGATAAGCAAAGGCCTGGAAATTTCTTAAAGGAGTTAAAAGAAATTTGGAGCGGAGAGCGCATGGGCGGTCAAGGGCCAGGTGGTGAGCAGCTGTAGAAAGAGTTAGCATCTGGGCCGGGGATTAAGCTCAGTGGTGCTGCCCTACATGCCTGGCAAGCTCAAGGTCCTGAGTTTGATCTCCAGTTTAGAAAAAACACAAAAAGAAAGCACTGGGGATTTGGCTCAGTGGCACCATGCCTGCCTTGCAAGTGCAAGGTCCTGAGTTCAATCCCCAATACCAAAAAAAAAAAAAAAAAAAAAAAAAAGAAAAGAAAGAAAGAAAGAAAAGAAAAGAGCATTTATCCTGAGGGTGAAGGAAAGAGGGATGGGTGACATGATCAGCCTTCTGTTTTAGAAGACCTTGTCGGGCTACTGCCTGGACTGGGGGTGGCCCAGGGAGAGAAGTGAAGATCTTCAACACAGGAAGCAGAGTGGCAGGATGCAGTGGTAGGCTGGAGACGGGGCAGAAGGGAGAATACTGATGACCAGGTTTCTGACTGCACAGATGCATGGATGTCCATCTGTGGGATGGGAAAGGTCCCTCCTTTCATACCATAACAATGGGGGTTCAGTTTCAATACACAAATCATGGGAGTCATTTAGATCGTACCAGTGTTCTTCCTGTATGTGTGTCCCGATACTGGGAATTGAACTCCGGACCTTGCACTTGCCAGGCAGCTGTGGTCCCGCTGAGCTACATCCCCAGCCTAAATTTCTCCTTTTGATATGGACACCAGTTTGGATTCAGGGCCTACCCTACCCCAGTATGGCCTGATCTTAATGAATTACATCTGCATTGATCATACTTCCAAATCAGGTCACATCTGAGGCACTGAGGTTAGGACTTCAACATATCGAATTTGGAGGACACGGCTGAACCCTAACAGGTAGTGGTGGAAGCTATGTGAGCAGGTGATATATTGGGATAGGGGGCCAAACCTGCAGTTTTAGGAACCCCAGATGGGCAGGGAGGAGAGTACCCCGAGGACTCTAGTGCACGAAGGAAAGTGAGCAGACAGAACCAGAGAGGGAGGAGTGATTGGAAACCACTGGGTGCCAGGATGCAAGGGGCCAGCTCGGCAGCACTCCCCACAGGAAGGGGGACAGGTGAGAGTGGCTGGTTTGGGGACAGAAGCTGGTGATAGGTTCTGATGGAGAGGTGGGGGTGGAAGATTCTAAGACACTTGAGGTCACTTGAAGACCCAAGTACTTGGGCCAGTGGATGAGGATGAAGTTAGTCTGGAGCCACTGAGACAAAAAAGCCACAGCCACACAATTGCAACACTGTGCTGTGGAACAACCTCCACGGTGGCCCTCTGCCGCCTGCCCTCCCCTCTCATGGGGCCACCCCTCAGCAAGGTGGTCCCAGCCACAGAGAGCCCCTCACTGGGAACCAGCTTCTGAAGCGTGGTGTCACTGGCAAGGCACATACCACGGTGGGATGAGGTCACAGTCTCCTGGCACAGTACTGCCACTGCCCCACACTGCCACACACCTAGACACGCACGCAGCAGGCATCCTCCCTCAAGCCCGTACTGTCACTCTGCACACAGAGCCATGCAAAATACCCCCGAACGTGTCACAGGTCCCTCCGACCCATCACTGCACCACCAATCATAGTCCTACGTGCTGACAGCGAGCTCCGTTTTCTTTTGTCACTCCCACCCAGTTCCCTGGGGAGCAGCCAGTGGCACCCGCAGAATGACTGCAGTTAAACATTCTCCTCACACGCACCAGCCTCACCGTCTCTATGTCTCTCTGGTGTAACCTGGCATCTACAGTGCACCCGTGTCATCCCAGCACTCTGGGAGGCTGAGGCAGAGGGATCACAAATTCAAGCTCAGCCTGGGCAGCTTAGGGATTTAGTGTCTTAAATAATAAATAGTAAATACATGGGGATATATCCCAGTCCAAAAGCCTTGGGTTCAAGCCCTAGTGCAAAAACTAAAGCTCTCTCTGTCTCTCTCTACACACACGCGCGCGCGCACGCACACACACACACACACACACACACACACACACACCCCAAGCCGG